GGGAAGGACAACCTTCCCTCAGGTTCTCCTTCCTTTTGAGCTGAAATCCATCAAGTCTTAGTACACAGGTGATTACTTAAGTTGATACAACAGGTTTTCTGAACTTCCAAATCCCAAGAAACCTATTGCTGAAATGCGTATAAAAACACAGACAAAACTGAGAGACTGAAAAACAGGTTCTTTTGGTGGTTTTTTTTTTTATTTTAGAATCATCTGAATTTGCAAGCAACAACCCGTAACCACGTGCTATGAAGACCACTGGCCATATACTGACAGCTGTATCACAGCCTCAATAGTAATATTTTAGGTAAACCAGTTTCTGAAAAAAATCCTATGCCGACATATCCTCTTTGTGGAAAAAAAAAAGTCCATTTTTATAAATAAAGGTGTATGGAAGTGAAGTTGTACTTTAAGGTAGAGGGTTGCATATTAAAACTTTTAACAGTTGAAAAAGCAACAAATCATGAGTAAACTCTTAATACAGCCTACAGTCCTTTTTCACTAGTCTGCAGCTTAAAACTAGAACATTAACAAATCTACATAGTGCCTGGAGAAAGATCAGAGCTAGGTAAATGTTGGTCAACTAAGCCCATGAGTCAGTGCAACTCTGCCTGCCTACCATTTAAGCAATCAAAGGCTCAAAAATATAGTGCATGACTGTACCTTCCCTTTTATTTTTTTTTCCCAGTTCAGGGTTTCTTGGATGTTATTACAGAATTCTTACAACTGAAGAAAGTTAGGCATTTTCCACACATTTAACATGAATTAATCTGAGGGAAATTTATTCCATTATGAAAAAAAAAAAAGATCATTCTCAAAAGCTCATTTTCTCATCAGAGGAAAAACCAGATCACTGGCTAGTATGAAAGCACAAATTGGTGAAATTTCAGTTTTGGCCACAGTGTTACTGGAAAGACAGGTTTAATGAACCAATGGCCCCTACAGCCTGACACTATCATGGGGGCACAACATGGATCAGAACAGTTTATCCTGAAGACTGTAATTTCAATATTCACAAAAGCACAGCAAGTTGTGCTCTTTCATTATTACTCGTTTTCATCAATTACATAACATATTTCAAATAAGACCAACACACCGAACAATATTCATACAAAAACCTGTGAAAACATGAGCCAATTTCTTACATCTAAACAAATTCTGTTTACCTACTCTCTTCATTCTGTTACCAAAAGTGAGGTGCTTCTTGGCATTCTTTCATTTCAAACAAACAGCTGCCACCACAAAGCACAACTAGCCCAAGGAAGCTGTCTATAAAGTGCTGATTGTAGTTAGTAAGGGGCAAAAAAAAAGGGAATGGAAGAATAAAAAACAACCCATCGTCTTACACAGACACCATTGCATTTATGAGTGTGGCATACCTTCCCCAGTCATGGAAGGCCTTTTATCTTCTGGTCTCCCAAGCAGGACTGCCCCAGCAAAAAAAACTCTGCTGGTTCACATTTAAAGCTTTCCCCAATTGATATTTTTCTTCTCTTCCATAAAACAAACAAAAAAAAGCACACCCCAAACCAGCCACAATTTTATTTTGTAAATAATAATAGTATGAAGAGGGCAATGCAGATGTATGACTTACATCTGAGCATAAAGCAATGGCCCAGTGACAGGAGGATTATATCTACATTTTATATACCTTCTAATTTGCATCCTATAAGAGCGCATCGGGTATTCTTGCTTTACTCTTTTTCAAAGAACAGAGAATGTCTTCCTTGGCCGAACATTCATTCACGTGTTACAGAAACAAGAGCTGCAGTGAAGAGCAGACATTTTGGGACTACACCAGGAATACCTGGAAACTGCATTCCAGACAGCAAGCAATAGGGAAGGTAACAGCTGAATTGTCAGAGTTGGTTACATCAAATCTTAGCTCTTTGGAGAGCAAAAGATGGAATTTCTGACACCTTTACACCAGCAGCTCCACCATTACAAGCCCACAGAACATCTGCCAGTAATACAGAGAAGTAACATTTTCCAACCTATTTTACTGCAATGTTAAATCAAAATAAAAGCCAAACAAAAATACTTTCCTACTCAATTCTCCAAGCAGGCAGTCCTCGCAAAAAAAAAAAAATCAAAATAAAAATAAATACTTCCAAAGTGGGTAGATAGGTCCCTCCTCAGTTTTGAATTCAAGAACAGCAGTAGGTAAAACACCTATTGCTAAACCTCTACCTTCACACCCTCAAAGGGTTTGAAAACACCAGCCTCAAGCTGGTTGCTCACAACCGAGCAAACACATTTACTTCAAGCTCTGCAAGCTCTCCTTGCACTGAACTAGTTACTGAGTCTAATGCGCAAATTGGAAACTATTCTTATAATGAAGAGCAAAAATAATTAAGACCTGAATTATTCTGATTTACTGCAGCATAAGCACTGAGGAGAAAGAAGTTGGAACATGAAGTTACTCAAGAACATTGCCAGTTTACCTACTATTTTATTACAGGTGGGGCAGGCAAAACAATCTCTTACTAATTTTATCTAATACTTCCCAGCATGTACTTAGCATGGCTAAACTTGGTGTTAGCCTTTTTTTTCTCTCTGCCAGACTAAAATCATTCGGGCTGCAACCTTCTGTGCCAGATACCTACAGCAGAACAAACTTCTAAGAACACGGTAGTAAAATCAGTTCTGCATCTGGACAGCACTGCTTTGGCTACATTAAACAGCAAGTTGTCTTTCAACACCTCACCCAAATTCCAGACATGCTGCATAAATCAGCATTTTTCTGAGGTTGACAAAAACCTTTATTTAGCCAGCATACTAGCAACTAAGATTTTGAAGGACTGTTTTCAATGAATTTCTCTCAATTCCTCCAGGTGGAGGAACAGCACATGCACTATCTTTTCTATCATCCACATAGTTCGTAGTATGGAGGAGCCAGCACATTCCTACCCCAGTAAGGCAGGATGCTCTGGGCTACCAGAACAAAGACAGGCTTTGCCTGTAATGGCTTCCAGATAGTAAGCTTTAGAGGTGCTTGGCAATGCCCAGGCAGAAGAAAGCCTTACTTCTTCTGTGCTTACTATACCTGAATTTACCTCGTAGGCTACTTTTATCTTTCAAATCCATGATTTAAAAGAGTAAAACTAATACATCTAGACTTGGATGAGGTTATTAAAAAAGAGAAGTAGCACTCTAGGAAGAAAAACTGCAACAAGACTCTTGAGTTTTAACAAATTAAACAAGCGTGAATATAAGCACATTTTTAAGGAATTCAAGAAGGAGATTACAACTGGCTTGATGCAGCCAAAGATGAGGACCAAGAGTTAGATGAAGAGATGATACAGGATCTGAAGTTATTAGCAGAGACAGCACAGGAAAGAAAAAAAAAAAAAAAAAGAAGAAATGGAAATAACTGGTCTGTGCCTGTTACCACCCAAAATTCTAGAATCGCATAATCCTTCTACTGTTGTCAGAAGTCTCTTTAATCCAGTTACAATAGGATGTATCTCAGCTCCTTTAATAATACTCCCTCTCTTGTGAACTGCTCCATGCGCTTGAATAGTGGAGGCCCTTTCCGTGCAGGTAAAGGCGTTAACTCTGCAGATAGAGCATGTGAAATTCAGGATGGCACCCTATTATTTGAGATAAGGAAATTACACTAAAAATTACACTTCTAGAATCAAGTAATCAAAAGCAAACCTGCACAAAAATTCAGACTGCTTGTATCTTCATTTGATTCCCACTCGTTTGCGTACGTTCAATATCTTCTTTGCTTATTTCCACTACTCACATCCTCACAGAAGCCTAATACCTCACAGGATCAACACACACCTGTCCCAGGGGACGACTCCAGTAAGGAGACTGCTGTTCCAGTTTGTCAAGCAAGCTGAAAAATACACTGGACTATAAAGAAAAGTGGGAAAAAAATAGATAGCCTTTGACTAACTGTAGCTAAATGTTGTGGAAAACTAAAATCTATCCCTAACAGCACCGCAGCTAGACAAGTCACCTACACAATGCTTTTCACAAGCAATTACTCAGGGCAGGATTTAAGATGGCTAAGATTAGGTGAGGTAAAAATTAGCTATCTGGACTCCATCCTGACAAGGAATACAGATTAGCATCTTCAGAAGGCAGCTGAGCCCACCTACTCAGGACTGATATGACTCTTTTGAAGGCCTAACTTCAGATCTCAACTCTAAATTTTGGAAGTGCTGAATGCTTAGAACTACAGCTGAGTGAGACTTAGCCTCGAAAGTTTAGTATTAATCTAAATATGGTGCAAAGTCCTATCAAAACCACATTGGCCACAAAGAGAGATTAAAAAAAGACTGTAAAAACTAATGATACCCAGGGCTTGTACAGGGGTAATCACCCTGGCAAGGCACTACACATTTAACAGTGACAGTAAGAGAAAACTCTGTCTGATCATTAAAAACAAGCACCACCTGCTCTATTCACCAAGGCCACTCAAGGTTTTACTTGCCTTTTTGTTTTGCTGGATTCACAATCCCACCTCTGCTCCTATGCCAGTTCTGGCACATGCTGAACAATCAGCGAGATGATTATACTCAAACTGAGAGAAAATGATCCAGAAGATTTTTTTTTTTGCACTGGAGGAAGAAGGTTTAGGAGAAGACGAGCAATCAGCATAAGGTAAGAGATGCAAGCAGCCAGGAGCAAGAAAGAATGAGACTTTCCCCTTTGCGAGTTGTGACCTGCCAAAAATGGGTTATAACCTCATAGAGAAACAGCCAAAAATAAACCAGAGCACTTGTGAAAAATGCCATTATTGGTAAATGACTCAAGGGGACCACAGAAACGAAACACAACTACCATCACATAATAAAGTCTCCTATATTTTAAGCTCTGTAACGGCCGAAGTTTGAAAGTAATTCTACAGAGGTTCTCACTGTATTTTCTCTCTGCAGGAACTCAAGCTCCTACCACTGCTTTACCATGCGAGTTGCAAGTATCTTGTATGTCCCCCTGGCAGACAGAAACTGAGGATATCGTCTATTGTGTTGATTCTCAGTATATACACAGCCGTCCATCTCCTCTACCAGCCTGACATGTGGTAAGTGACAGGTGGAAACCCGAGAGGATCTGGCACTGCTCATGACAGCAGCTTTGTATTTTGAAGTGGTGTGCAAGTTAAAATGAAAATTGGGACACTACACATATGCCACCTCCTCCCGAGATAGCTTTAGAGCGTACGTATCTGCAACACATTCTTATGGAGACGCAAGACAGCTGTTAAAACAAATGCACAGATTAATACACTGCTGCAACTAGAACACAGACAGTAAGCATATTAAATGGCAGTATTTAAAGGCAGCACTAAAAACTGGGTATGAATATGGCAATAGGTTTACTGTATAACAATGCTGTCAATTTTAAGACTTTTTTTTTTGGTAGCTCATTTCAAAATAATTACACTGATAGTGGTGCTACTTCATGTCTTTCCTTATACAAGATCTGTTAGCATTCAGATTTCTTTTGCACATACGAATGAACAGAATGCAAAACAGAGCACTCGATATTTCCCAACACATTTACAGTATTGAAGATACTGAAATTCTCTTGCTTTCTGAGAGTGAAAAAGGGACTAAAGCAGAGTATACTCTGACTTACTGTTACTGATAAAGCCCACAACGCTCTGAGATCAGAGTACACAACCGATATCTCACGTACCCCCTCCATCCAGGCAGGAGCTGGAGTCACCGCTTCCTTGGCCTCCACATCCACCCACCTACAAACAGGAACATCGATACATGGCAAGGGAGACAAGCACAACACAGCACCGGCTCTTCAGCTTACTCACTGCAAGGACAGAGGCAGAAGCAGCCGCTGCCTGCAGTGTGCCCACTCACACCCCTCACCTCCACCAGCACGTCTGCAACTCCAGCACCTTCTATCTTCTCCCTCACCCATCTACGGTACAAAGGAGCGAGAGCATTTTAGGGGACACCCACATAAATACTAGCAAATTGCCATCTAATCCGCAACGCTGACAAGGTTGAGCAACAATGATGAAACCACACCCTCATATTTCAGCCTGTGTATTGTGAATTTATAATACTTTCCACTTTGAAACACCACTAATTTAGGCAACTTTTGAAAGAACGTGTTTCTCATGTGGCTGTACATTGCCTCCCTTGGTTCCAAATCCAATTAAAAAAAAAGAATCTCGCAAATCATAAAAACATTTGGTAAACATGATCAGTCACTCATACGATTGTTCAAAATGGCTGTTTTGCAATTAAGACAGAAAATACAAACTGAACTAAGTTTCAAATTAGTGATGTCTGCCATTATCAAATATTGCAACCTCTGTCTCCTCACACTGGATATGTTGGACACTCATACTTGGAGATGACCTTCAAAGATAATATAATAAGCAGTTGTTCACTAATTACAAGCACTTTTTTTTTAAGCTGTCAAGAAATAAACAAACTTGAAGCATACACACTTACACAAAATTTGGTATGCAAACCAAATGGCTATAAAACACCTTAGCTCTTAGCTAAGCCCTAAGATTTTTGGCTAGAAAAAACTGTGAAGAATTCAGACTAACTATAAAGTCATACCACCATGAAAATATTGTATATGCACATGTTGTGTAGCTCAGCACACAGCCAAGCGCTGCTTCTGGGAACGAGGGATCCCTCTAGCTCATTGCAACTTCGGATCGTGGTACCCACCATTACCAGCAGCAGCACAAAGCCAAGGAAAAAAAATGTGCACAGCTGCCCTAACACATCGTTCCAGGGGTGAACACTGATGAGAACTTGGGGAAATCTCTATTTTAAGGATGCAATTACACCAAAGCAGAAAACCATAATGGCCTTTACGTGAAAATCATTAGTACTAACTGTAATACACATCCATTGCCTTTATCCTCCCCAATTAAAAGAAACTCTTGAGTGTTTGGCAACATCTGAAACACCACATGCCAGCATCTGGTATTTACAGTCATTTTGACTCAGCAACAAGAGCGACCACCACAATTCGGTGTTACGTTTGAACAAAGGGAAGGTTCAAAGACTGAGAATGCAAACCTGTGGACATGAGCAAACTCAACAGCTTCATTTCTTCTGCTCTGAAAGCTAACTATTCCTCTTTCACACTTTTATGATTCTGCTGCACTTACATCTTCCATTGCTTGCAATGCCAGGATGATAATTTTACATGTCTCATTCTTGCTTGCTACGAAAGCACATGAACAGCATAAACCCCTTTTTTTGTTGTCTTAAGTTCTGTTAGGGAGATTTCACTATCTGTGATTCGTGGAAGCTTAAACTTCTTCTTAAGGGGTAATTGCCTGTGGTCACAGCCTTTAGCTGAGAAGAAGAAAATTAGTATTGGGAATTGCCTAAGTAAGTTGTCTTTGACTTTTTTCCAACTTTCTATCAATTCACTACAGTGCTCCACAGAAATTTTCACACAGTGGCAGCTTTGGTTTTGGGTCCCAGAGGCAGCAGAGCAACAGAAAGTGAGGTTTTCCATGCTTTAAGGACATTACAGCACTGTTCCTTACTTTCTTTGGTAACAGCTAGCTATTATTAGAGACCATACGATTTAATGGATACACTGAAGCAGACTGGAACTCAAGAGAACTTAATTCTTGCAATTCAGCTCTAACTTGTGCTGACAATGACTCTTCTTCTCTCTGCTTTACTTCCCTCTCCTTTTATCATACCTACTCATATTCAAAATGACAAGACCATCCCATATTATGTACCAGTATAGCATCATTTTTAACCAAATACCCTCCTAAGTAGCACGGTCCAAAAACATTATTTGAATATGATTAATCTAATTGCCTGTTGCTACCATTAACCTGAAATTTTTCGATCTCCCTCTCCATCCATCCTGATGCTTGCAGCAAGAATCAAAGGATTATCAATATCTTGCCTCTACCTCCCCTTTTTCCTTGTCAGAGTAATTTAACTACCACCTTGTAAAGAAGGTATTACCTTTGAATTCATTTCGCTCTTTAAAACTTACACTCACTCTGTTCAAACAAGAGTCATGTGCAACAGGAACTCTGCTTCACCAGACAACCAGGAGCAAGAATACCTGCGGTTTGATACCACGTACAGCATTTAAAGTCTTGATACAGTCACGCAACGAAAGTCAGCACATCTAAAGTCACTCTTGTCATCTGATACCTGGTAATCCCACCTGGGCTCTAGGAGTTTTCAGCGCTAGTAACAAGTGATCTTCAACCAACTTAAAACACATACGTGTATTTTTGCAAAACAGGCTAAAGAGCAAATTATATACACTTTCCCACTGAGAGAGGTATGTACATATGACAAAGCTGTTAAGTACTCATGACTTGACAGTATAAAAATCACTATTGCTAACATGTTGCTACACTACCTACAAAGGATTCCCACTCCAAGACGACAAAACATTTTCACGACAAAAGCCTTCACTTCTCTGCATGAATAATACATAACTTCTGTATTTTAAGTTACAGCGGTAAATCCACTGCCACCCTGCAACATGCACGGGGAAAAATGCGGCAGGAAACCTGTGAATCACTACAGCAGGCTCTAAATGTTGTATGGAAAAACATGCCTGCTGCACTGAGGGAATACAGCACTGCTATTTCTGCTAGTATGTTCAGTTTGGTTCAAACAAAACAGAGAGAAATCTTTCATACAAAGAATTCTTTGAAGAAAGCCTACTTTCTCATATAATTTTTTTAAACGCATCTTTCCACACAACCTTTAGAGATACCTTCTTCTTCAGTTTCTTATAGATATGGCATTTTTCTTGTCCGCCTCAAAGCTGAACCCCAATCGGGGGGTTACTTAAAGTAAAAAAGTTACAGAACCCTTCAGTGATTTTCCAGTTTGTGTTAACATTACTTTCAATGGAAGCTGATCCACATCCCTTTCTTTCCTACCATAATTCCAATGCAAATAACACACAATGCTTCTTTTAAAACTTCCATACATGATAGGAATTCACATACAGGATTTTAAGTGGCAAAATTCCCAAAAGCACTCTTGCACATTTCTTTCAGTTGGTACAGCACTAACATTTGTGACTACCATAGGATCTCCAGAAGGCCTTTCTTAATTTTATGTTAAACACATCCTTTTCCATAAGGTGTAAGATTTAAATGAGCCTTACACAAACACTTTGTTAGGGCTACTGTGATTTAAGCTACCTCCTGCCTAACTGCAGGTGAAGAAAAACAGACCATATAGCACGCACCAAAGATCAATAGATCTTATGCTGTCAAACAAGGAGAAAAAGTTTTTACATGTATTTAAAATATCAAGAACACCTGCAATTAAATTAGGTATTAGAGGGTCAAATACAAAATGAAAAAGACTAATGTACTTCAAAGTTTTACTCTATTAAGAGTGTTAATGAATACATTAACATGAGTGCTAATGTAACAAAATCCTTTAAAGTGTTTTAAAAACAATCCATACGGCACCATTATTGGGAATACTTAAAAGACGGAGTCTTAAATGCATACATTACAATTTCACAAAATAAAAATAGGGTTTAGAATGCCAATTTTAAAATATCAGACTGCTCCATCACGGAGCATTCGTGCACACGTGTGTGTGTGTATATATATGTGAACACACACGTGTACATCTGCACTTTTTTTTTCCACCATGAAGCATAACCCTTTGTTCCAAAATCCCCAGTTGTATGTTTAATGATCACACATAAAACACTCCCATCAAAAAGAAAAACCGCAGTTCTAGCATGTTTAATTCTTTGGAAATGAACATCTACATTGCTGAAATGGCATTAGAGTGACAAATGACTATAATCCAATGGCCCAAGGCCAGCAACTTCTATTACAACAGATTTGGCTGTTTTGTACGACACAGCATGTTGCATGTATATCACTAAACAGAAATGAGACTGCTTAGTTTACCTACAAACAAAACCCCACTTAACTTTACAAGTATTTTAACAGCTACATGAACGGAAAAAGCAGTGTGTCTAAGCAACTGCCTACAAAAACTGGATTTATTAATAGGTAAATGGCTGGATCCATTCTAAAAAGTCTCTAAGTCAGTGCTATAGTCTAGAACGCACAGAATAAATAGCAGTGATTCACAAAACCTGTGGGTTCTATTCTATTATTTGCATGCTGCCATACAGTTCGAAATTTAAGTTCTATGTCAGTTTTCCCAGACTTCCTTTTTTCAAGTTAACCAACCCACATTCACCCACTGTACTCTGCGTGGATTCACCATTCACATTTTAGAAAGGCAAATGATACCTTCTGGCTATCTAAACTCACAGCTTCAGCTGCAGCCTGAATTCCCAAGACTAGGGAAGCCTGGAACAACTCCTCACTCCACAGGCAAAAGCTCTAGCAAAAGGACAAACCCAGGCCGTTCTGAGCAATGAAAGCAGGATTCAAAAAAAGAGGAGACAAATACAGCTTCTTCATCCCTTTAAAACACAAAACAGCAACTGAGCAGGACAGGGGAGAAGGAGCAGCTACAGCAAGATGATACGCTCAAACATCTCTCCCCAAATCCACCCACTGGCAGCCCTTGCCCGCAGCCACCTCCTTTTGTGTTCAGGGTGTCCCCCATAGTTTTCAGCATATTTCATGAACCTGACAGACAGAATCCACATTGCCCTCTCCCCAAACACTTCTTTCTGCCTGTACAGACACTGTAACATTACACACATCTGCATGGATGCAAGCAAGCTAGCACAAGAAACTCATCCAGCTGCCTAAGAATCATTTTT